AAGTAACATTTAATTTCAAATTCATTGATAATAAAATGTATATATTGCTTTATAAATACTTACACGCTGGTAATTTAACACGTAAGTAAAAGAATAGAGAAATAGTATTTTAATGTCAAATCCTATTGATAATAAAATGTGTACTTCGTTTTATAAATACTTACTCCCTGGTAATATGTGTATGAATGAATAAAGTAACATTTAATTTCAAATTCTATTGATAATAAAACGTGTACTTCGTTTATAATACTTACCAACTGGTAGTTTAACACGTGAGTGAAAGAACAGATAAATAATATTTTAATGTCAAATTCTATTGATAACACAATGAGTATATCATTTTACAAATACTTACCAACTGGTGCATGAATGAATAAAGTAGCATTTAATGTCAAATTATATTGATAATAAAATGTGTACTTCGTTTTATAAATACTTACCATTTTTATCATCTGGTAGTTTAAACACGTGAATGAAAGAACAGAAAAATAATATTTTAATGTCAAATCCTATTGATAATAAAATATGTACATCGTTTTATAAATACTTACCGACTGGTAATATGCACGAATGAATAAAGTAGCATTTAATTTCAAGGTCTATTGATAATAAAATGTGTACTTCGTTTTATAAATACTTACCATCTGGTAGTTTAAACACGTAAAAGAAAAGAAATAATATTTTAATGTCAAATTCTATCAATAATAAAATGTGTACTTCTTTCTATAAATACTTACGTACTGGTGGTTTAACACGTGAGTGAAAGAACATAATTTTTAATGTCAAATTCTATCGACAATAAAATGTGTACTTTGTTTTATGAATACTTACTCGCTGGTAGTTTAACACGTGAGTAAAAGAATAGATTAATATTTTAATGTCAAATTCTATTGATAATAAAATGTGTACATCGTTTTATAAATACTTACATACTGGTAGTTTAACACATGAGTGAAAGAATAGAGTAATATTTTTAATGTCAAATTCTATTGATAACAAAATGTGTACTTCTTTTTATAAATACTTACCATCTGGTAGTTTAGCATGTGAGTGAAAGAACAAAGAAATAATATTTAATGTCAAATTCTATTGACAATAAAATGTTTACATCGTCTTATAAATACTTACTCCCTGGTAATATGCGTATGAATAAATAAAGTAACATTTAATTTCAAATTCTATTGATAATAAAATGTATATATCACTTTATAAATACTTACCAACTGGTAATATGCGTATGAATAAATAAAGTAACATTTAATTTCAAATTCTATTGATAACAAAATGTGTACTTATTTTTTTAAATACTTACAAACTGGTAGTTTAACACGTGAGTGAAAGAACAGAGAAATAATATATTAATGTCAAATTCTATCGATAATAAAATGTGTACATCGTTTTATAAATGCTTACCAACTGGCAATATGAATAAATAACATTTAAATTTCAAATTCTATTAATAATAAAATGTGTACATTTTTATAAATACTTACATACTGGTAGTTTAACACGTGAGTAAAAGAATAGAGAAATAATATTTTAATGTCAACTTCTATTGATAAAATGTGTACTTATTTTTTTAAATACTTACAAACTGATAGTTTAACACGTGAGTGGATGAGCAGAGAAATAATAATTTAATGTCAAATTCTATTGATAATAAAATGTGTACATCGTTTTATAAATACTTACAAACTGGTAGTTTAACACGTGAATGAAAGAAAAGAGAAATAATATTTTAATATCAAATTCTATTGATAATAAAATGTATATATCGCTTTATAAATACTTACCAACTGGTAGTTTAACACATGAGTGAAAGAACAGAGAAATAATATTTTAATGTCAAGTCCTATTGATAGTAAAATGTGTACTTTGTTTTATAAATACTTACTTCCTGGTAATATGTGTATGAATAAATAAAGTAATATTTAATTTCAAATTCTATTGATAATAAAATGTATATATCGCTTTATAAATACTTACCAACTGGCAGTTTAACATGTAAATGAAAAGACAGAAACAATATTTTAATATCACATTCTATCAATAATAAAATGTGTACTTCTTTTTATAAATACTTACACACTAGTAGTTTAACACGTGAGTAAAAGAATAGAGAAATAATATTTTAATGTCAAAATCTATTGATAAAATGTGTACTTCGTTTTATACTCACCAACTGGTAGTTTAACACATGAGTGAGAGAACAGTGAAATAATATTTTAATGTCGAATTCTATTGATAATGAAATGTATACATCGGTTTATAAATACTTACCAACTGATAGTTTAACATGTGAGTGAAAAGAACAGATAAATAATATTTTAATGTCAAATCCTATTGATAGTAAAATGTGTACTTTGTTTTATAAATACTTACTCCCTGGTAGTTTAACACGTGAGTAAAATAATAGAGTAATATTTTTTAATGTCAAATTCTATTGGAAATAAAATGTGTACTTCGTTTTATAAATACTTACCAGCTGGTAGTTTAATACGTGAGTGAAAGAACAAAGAAATAATATTTCAATGCAAATTTTATTGATAATAAATATGTGTGCTTCGCTTTGTAAATACTTACCAACTGGTGTGAGTGAAAGAACAGAGAAATAATTGTTTAATGTCAAATTATATTGATAATAAAATTTGCACATAATTTTATAAATACTTACCGACTAGCAGTTTAACACGTGAATGAAAGAACAGAAAATAATATTTTAATATCAAATTCTATTGATAATAAAATGTGCACTTCGTTTTATAAATACTTACCAACTGGAAGTTTAACACGTAAGTGGAAGAACAAAGAAATAATATTTTAATGTCAAATTCTATTAATAATAAAATGTGTACTTTGTTTTGTAAATACTTACTAATTGGTAGTTTAGCACGTGAATGAAAAGGCAGAAATAATAAGTTAATGTCAAATTCTATTGATAATTAAATGCATACATCGTTTTATAAATACTTACAAGCTGATAATTTAACACGTGTGTGAAAGAACAGAGAAATAGTATTTTAATTTCAAATTCTATTGATAATAAAATATATACGTCGTTTTATAAATACTTACCAGCTGGTAGTTTAACACGTGAGTGAAAGAACAGAGAAATAATATTTTAATGTCAAATTCTATTGATAATAAAATGTGTACATCGTTTTATAAATGCTTACCAACTGGCAATATACGTGTGAATGAATAAAGTAACATTTAATTTCAAATTCTATTGATAATAAAATGTATACGTCGTTTTATAAATACTTACTTCCTGGTAATATGCGTATGAATGAATAAAGTAGCATTTAATTATAAATTCTATTAATAATAAAGTGTGTAATTCGTTTTATAAACACTTACTCTCTGGTAATATGCGTATGATGAATAAAGTAACATTTAATTTTAAATTATATTAATAATAAAATGTGTAATTCGTTCTATAAATACTTACTCCCTGGTAATATGCGTATGAATAAAGTAACATTTAATTTTAAATTCTATTAATAATAAAATGTGTAATTTGTTTTATAAACACTTACCCCCTGTAATATGCGTATGAATGAACAAAGTAACATTTAATTTTAAATTATATTAATAATAAAATGTGTAAATAGATCCAAGCGAGAATAATACTTACTCTCTGTAATATGCATATGAATGAATAAAGTAACATTTAATTTTAAATTCTATTAATAATAAAATGTGTAATTCGTTTATAAATACTTACTCCCTGGTAATATGCGTATGAATGAATAAAGTAACATTTAATTTTAGATTCTATTAAGAATGCAATGTGTAATTCGTTTTATAAATACTTACGCACTGGTAGTTTAACACATTAGTGAAAGAAAAGAAAAATAATATTTTAATGCAAATTATATCGATAATAAAATGTGTACTTCGTTTTATAAATACTTACTCCCTGCCAATATGAATAAATAACATTTAAATTTCAAATTCTATTAATAATAAAATGTGTATATCGTTTTATAAATACTTACCAGCTGGTAGTTTGACACGTGAGTGAAAGAACAGAGAAATAAGATTTTAATGTCAAATTCTATTGATAATAAATGTGTACATCGTTTTATAAATACTTACTCCCTGGTAGTTTAAATAGAAGTGAAAGAACAAAGAAATAATATTTTAATGTCAAAACCTATCGATAATAAAATGTGTATTTCGTTTTATATATACTTACAAACTGGTAGTTTAACACGTGCGTGAAAGAACGGAGAAATAACATTTGAATGTCAATTCTATTAATAATAAATTTGTACATCGTTTATAAATACTTACCACCTGGTAGTTTAACATGTGAATGAAAGAACAGATAAATGGTATTTTAATGTCAAATTCTATTTATAATAAAATATGTACTTCGTTTTATAAATACTTACTCCCTGGTAATATGCGTATGAATAAATAAAGTAACATTTAATTTCAAATTATATTGATAATAAAATATGTCCTTCGTTTTGTAAATACTTACCAGCTGGTAGTTTAATACGTAAATAAAAGAACAGATAAATAATAGTTTAATGAAAAATTATTATAATAACTGATTATGACAAAAGCTTTACTTACCACTGGTAGTTTAAAATTTAGGTGAGTAAGGTAAAATTTAATGAGGAATTCTTTTGATAAATGAGTTCTATACTTACAAAGTAAGAATTGCGACAACCAACAATATTAAAAATAATATACGAAATACTGCATTAATTGGCTCAAATTTTTGTTTACTAATGATAATAATCCAAAACACAGGAATAATTATCACTGGAAACAATATTAAAAATACAGCAATAATAAAATATAATCCTCCAAAATGACATTTATCTAATTGTTTTCTAGGCGTAATTATTGCAGAAACTATTGCGGAAACAGCGCAAAGTACATGTAATGACATGCTTATGAGTGTAAATATCTTTATATCTAACAAATTTTCATAAGTAAAGGAAACTATTAGTGGAATCGCCCAAGTAACTATATTAAATAATATGTCGTCTAATAATGGCAAGAAAAAGTTTTTAATAGATCTCTCTTCATTTTTGACATTAAGTAAAATGACAAAGGTGATTGGAAATAATGTATTAAGGAGAGCATCATATAAATCTTGCTTAGACGAATATGATTCATCTATAATTGATGTCATTGCAAGTTGAAAAAATGAAATAAAAAGAATTTTTCCAAGAATAAAGTTAATGAGAAGGCTGTTCATTGCTGATATTTAGTTTTTAATTTGTCTTTGTGAGCAATTTACTAATAGACGTCCGATTTGTCACGCAGATCACGGGTAAATTTTTTACTATGATACTAGGCACTTGAACTGTTCAAAGGGAGTTAGAAATGAGTGCATCATATGTTTTGCGTTTAGAGATGGGCAAGATAATTACTTAATACGTAATAAGCCAGTTCACATAAATTACAATTTGACATGTCATTAGTTGCAATTATATTTTATTACGTACAAAATTGTCGATGGGACTTTTTATGTAATAAGCAATTATTTTGCCCGTCTCTATTTATTCCATATCAGATTTAGTGGAGTTTTATTATTATATAGGTATTTATATTCACATATACGCACTAGCAGATCTTGAATGAATGGATTTTCAAGCTACATTAATTATCGCTTATTATGTTTAAATTATATCTCCACTAGTGAAAAACCCGTGGCTTCGCCACGGGGTTTACTGTGATATGGATACGTGTGATTTTTAAGAAAGTTTTTTTGGAATCAAGACTTTAAGCAATACAAAATGTGGGAAAAGGTGTTTGTGTAGTGTGAGCGGTAGGATGGTGGCGCCGGAAGTTTGTGATCGGTGTAACGAATTAATGGTGTTGCGCGGCAAATCGGCAAGTCTGTCGCTAATTCCTTCCAATCCTCGTGTAACCTACGGCGGCTAAGTCGAAATAGGCGTGTTAGATTTGGCTAG